TAATGAGTGATACATGGAGCTTTTAGAATACAACAACAAACTAAAATATACAAGCGTGCTTGTACATCAATAAAAGTAGTAGTGGCGGACAAACACGGTACAGAAGCAACTGTGGTTCGAACAGAACAAAATCTGGAAAATGGGGAGAAAACGAGGTGAGTATAAACTCAGTGAATGTCCAGCACTGTCCTAAACATGCAGTGACATGCATCACAACATTTAAACGAAGTATCATCAGAAAAACATATATAATCATATCATCTGTCAAAATATGATAGCCTCTGGTAACATAGTCAGAAACAAAATAAACAGCTGTCGAAGTATCAGAATAGATCGCGTAGCACATAATGTACCGGGAATCCCGTACCGAAATTAGAATCACATATCTCATATCATCGGACCCAGGGGCTCCCCGCACGCTACAGCGGCAAACCGTCCGGACTCAGGGCACTCCCCGCACAGTATGGCAGCCAACCGTCTGCCGGCTGAACCCTTGGCATCCTAGAATCAGAATCAGAGTCATAGATAGATCCAGGGCGCTTTCCATGCAATGGTGGCCAACCCCCCAACGGCAAAGCCCCTAACGTCCCAGAATTAGAGACAGAGTCACATGTCACATATATCGCATTGGGATCCCGTGCCAAAGCTAGAAACAAAATCACATATCAGAATCACAGAAAACTCCCGACAGTGTAGTTTATCAGAACACATATGTATATCACCTAGAGGCAGAGTCCAATTTAAATTCAACAAATAAATTTTACATTTCTCACGCAAAAGAAAATATAGGATGCATGTCTCTCATTTTATATCATAATATCAAAAATACTGTAGCAAATATATCAGGAAATCAAAGCATAGTCATATGCATAAGAGAGTACTGGCACTCACAGGACACGTCAAAATCGGATGCTGAACTCAGACAGACGGCTCACTGATCGGTGCAAGTCTCATCCAGAGTATCTACAATAAACGGCACGTACGTCAGTAACGGAACTGAAATTTATTTCAAAAAAAACTAATTTATCAAAACCCGGACCAAAACCGACTAAAACCCTGCTGAATCGGACTGAACTAGGCTCATTTCTCATAAATCGAACCAAACTGAGCTAAATCAGGCTCAAATCTACCTAAACCAAGGTGAACCGAACTTAAATCGACAAGAACTAAACTCAACTTGTACCAAACCAGACTGAACCGGCCAAGGTTCCCCAAAAATCGTCGGTTTAACCAATTTTCTCCCAAAAAATCCCTCTGAACCAGACTGGTTCCAGCCCCGAAACCAGTCCCAAACTGTTCTTCTCTCTTCCTTGGACCGGGAACCGGCTTGGTTCCTGGATCGGGGCCCAAAAGGCCCCTGAACCAGCCGGTTCCAACCCAACAAGGCTGGACTGGACTGGTCAAAGGATGGTCAGACCCAAACAGCGTCGGGTCTGTCCCTTCCGCCAGAAACCCCGGCGGAGTACCCAGTTTCTGCAAACTTAGAACCCGGATCCCCCCTGAGCTTAAAACCGGAAAATAACAGCTTACCCAATTAATTTTTGCTTCCCAAACTCACTTCCAGTGATCCCCGAACTCGGTAATAACTTGTAATCGGAGAAAACTTGATTCAATCACCCGAAAATTCAGATTTTCCTTCCGTTAGTGCTGCGATGGTTTCCAAACTGTTTCTCCCTGTTTTCTCTCAAATTTCCTCAATTAGATTACATACCCAGATTCGTTTTGCCTTTTTATACAAAGCTTCAAAGTAGTTTTTGTGTTGTTCCATTCTTATTGGAGAAAAAAATTCGCCTGGGTTGTTTGGCCAGTTTCTGGGTTCTTCGGCTGAATTTTTTTTTTTAACAAATATTACATTTTATAATCTCATATAAATATGGTTGTCACATCACAGAAACTTATTAGTAATATTATACCATTATATTTGTAATCTGGTAGGAAAGTGTTCATAATACTACAGAATTACATTTATAATCTCATAGAAGAGTGTTTGTGAATAGAATATTATTTTTGTAGGTTCATATATTATGTTTGTGAACTACGTATATTATTATGATTATGATTGTAACTTTACAAAATCATGTTTATAACTTATTAAATGATGATGGAAGGAATACTAAATGAGGCTTTCCATAAATTTTTCAAGTGTAACTTAAAACTAACAACTAAGTCATTCAACAATTTCCTCAATTATCATTTTAAATAATTTAAGAAAAATATACGAGAAACTTAAATTTGTTAGAAAGTTTAGACAATATTCGTGTGAAGAGCCACACAATCAAAAGATAAGTTTACAAGACAATTGAAGAGTGACAATTGACACACGATCAAAAGAGAAGTTTGCCAAAGAAGACTTTTGAAGAAGAACATCTGTGCTCAATTTAGAACATTTATGAGAAGAAAAGAAGAAACTTTGACGATTGTACGTGAATAATTGACATCAATGGAAAGTAAAAAAAATCAAAAGACAAAATGAACAGTTATAGGGACATTATCAAAAGAAAAATATTTTTGATTGAATAATTTGCCTTTTCAAATACCTTGAAATGAAATTAAATTTCACTTTGATTATGAGTGCCCTTAAAATTTACTACGCCGAGTGGCTTGGTAAATTTTCTCTAAAATTTTCATTGCTTCCCTTCCAATAAGCTCAGCCACTGGCTATTAATAAATTTGACGGTGTCAAAGTTTTTAATAAATATTTTTGTCAAAGATGTGGGGGTAAGAAGGAATGACGAGTAAATTTAGATGATAAGAATATTTCTTTTTACTTCAAATATAATTTATTAAAATTATTATTATTAATAATACGTATTATATTTCTCTGCCGTGCCTTTTACGTCTTAAAATGAGAAATTATTAGGTAAAAATTAATAAAATTTTTATTTTTTTTATTTATTTTTGTCATCTTAATCATGTCACATCCTGAAATGTTGTCTGTAATAAAGTATATAATTCAAAATAATCCTGTTATATTTAAAAATTTAAATAAAATTATAATTTCTTGAATTACATATATGCCCTCGTTGACTATCAATTTACAAAATTGTCCGTTCTTCTAAAGTCATGCTGTCGTTGAGTCATGGCGTTTGCATCACTGGCATGTGGAAATACGCGAAGTATCAGGGGCAATGACAGCACAACCTTACCCATCGAGAAGGCTATCATAAATTCTTCCACAGATATCAGCCGTCCAGTTCAAACAAACATTAATCATCAGCCATCGATCTGCCAACTCCTTTAGTCATCACCAAACTCGTTCACATGGATCTATGGGTTCCCACCGAGCACACGGTTTGCAGCCCTCACGGCTGCTGACTGTTGAACGCGTCATCCACCGGCTATAGGCGGTTCGGTACCCAGACAACGATCCGAAGCTCAGGTTTGGTTCCGAAGCTTCTGCCTCGGAACTCCCATCTATAAAAGCCGGCACCTTCCGTCTCTTATCGGGAGCTCCTTGCAGTGGGTGAAGCCAAGCCAAGGCTCGGAGCTACGTAGATATTTTCGTTCTTTCGCTTCATCAAGGTATAGCGCTGGATAAACAGATACATGTATTTCTGCTTGTATAATTGCTCTTGGTCGACGACTCAAAGTTTCAGACAGATTTTGTAAGTTTTGCGTTGATTGGAAATATAGTGCGGTTCTACCATTTTGTTTATTGAGGAAGTGACTGAAACGGTTGGTTTAATCGGCCTGTTATGAACTAACTGATATCTGTGCTGACTAGGCTATTATGTAAATAAATGAATGCGTATAGGAACTGATTTAATTGTTGTGAGTGGTTCATAACAATGCTACAATTTCTTCATATTTCGATGAAATTATAGGCTCAGCTGCACATTTTCAAATTTTCTTGTATTGTAATTGAAGTTTTGTTTACCACTTGCCGGCTCCTTTCCTTTTTCTGCAAACAATTGAAATGCTTAGATCATAATTCGGGTGAATAGGAACTACTTTCTCATTATTGTATGGCTTTTGGAATTCGTTTTTAGTGAATTAAACGGAAGCTTTTTGTTTGCTGATCCTTACGCCGTGAAATAAGTGGAATATTAACTTCTATTTCCCTGTTGTTCACTTGAGCATACAATCTTTCATTCTTATTGGCCACTGTTGAGTCGGATTTGAATCCTGCTTATTGTTTAAAATTTCACTCGCATTAAATTTGTAAACGAAGTATTATTTGTTAAATTAAGACAAAATAGGATTTTTTTACTGCTCTTTTCTACTACTGAAAGGTATCAATGGGTATAATCTGAAGTAACAGTAAAAAGGAACCATATCATGTACTGATGTAAGCATATATCACTATATTTTTGCCTGCTAGATTCCTCAGAGGACTAAACAACAGGAAAAAAATGATTCTGAGAGGTTTTATGACTGCAGCTGCTTGTTGCACATGCTGAAGTTTTTTTTTTTTTGGGAAGGATTTTTGTTACTTGATCATTGTCTCTTTGGATTACATCCCCTTAAATTACTTTATTGAGTTCCGAATTTGTATTAGACATTCACTTAGCTATGGCCTGTAATTGTGGTTAATTTTTAGGGCTTCAATTCTGTAAAAATTTCTCATCCCTAAGCATTTTGTCTATAAAATTTCTGTTCCTGTATATGTTGATGAGCACAGCAAAGTACCCTGACTGACCCATTGTTGACTTTTGAGGAGATTTAATGTTATAATTGTATAACCATTAAAGGAAGGTCTCGTCTATCTGGTGAACTTTGAATTTCCATTTATAATTTTACAAGAGAGTTCCATAATACATGCCAAATGTGTTTATATTGATTTATGGGGTTATCCAGTAACTGATTATCAGGGTCAAATTTAATGACATGAAATTGGTAGCTAAATTCAGGTTTCAGATGGATAACTGTGGTTCTGTGTCTAGTGAAACTTGATAAACATATTTGGAAAACTATATATTATTTCCGCAATTGTCTAATTTATGTTTGCCGATGCATATATGTCATTTTTCAGGTAAGATAGCCTGTAGAACCTTTACCAAATGGCATTGGTTTCTGGAGGAAGGTCTTCACTGAATCCAAATGCACCTCTCTTTGTTCCTGCTGCTGTTCGTCAAGTGGAAGATTTCTCTCCAGAATGGTGGGACCTGGTCACCACTTCAGCTTGGTTTCATGACTACTGGCTCAGCCAGCACAAAGGAGAGGACGGTTTTTATGGCAGCAATGTGAATGAGTTCCCTGGCCATGATGTTGCTGATCTGCTGCCTGATACAATTGATGAGTTCGAGGAATTTTTCCAGTCACCTGGAACTGGGGAGTCAGCAAAATCATCTTTCTCCACCATGAAAGATGGAAATGGTAAGGAGTAACCTTCTATATGTGGGCTATGCTTGTAATCATATCTCTTGGAACCTCCTTAGGACTCAAATAAGATGATGAGCTTTTGTTTTGCAATGAAAATGAGCTATAATTAGCTGACCGTAATTCAGAATTCTGTTATATGTGGTTCAGATATTTGCTAGTGTTGTTACCATTATGAAGGACTTGAAATTATGTTGATGGCTAAAATTCTTTCTTTCAAGTTTTAGCACATGGGAGACATATCTTTCAAGTTCCACCTTTGATATCATGTTTGAATATTCCCATGTATAGGTTGTGAAATTTACGGAAAGCTAAATGAACATTTCTCATTACTAGTAGTTTTAGAATGATCAAATAATATTTTTTCTAACTTTGGAACTTAAGCAGGTTTAGTAATGGATGCTGAGGCATTGATGAAAGATCTGAGTTTATCGCAGCCTTTGAAGAGCAAAAGCCCAAACCACTCAGAACTGCCAAAGTATTGGGAGCAGCCTCCAAATCCAGTATCCATCCCCCGTTTCATCCAGCAGCCCGTTGAGCCTCTGCCAATTAGTACATTGTTGGATCTATCCAGCAAGTCAAGGAAAATGGTAGATGTTGCTTGTAATTTCTGTAGAAGATGAGTTGTCAACTCTTGTATCTAGTCTTGTTCATTCTAACACCTGTTGTTTCAGTAATCCAAAAACAAGTAAAAATGCAAACCAGAATGGAGAGTCTCCTAGGGATGTCAAAATCATTCTTTTCCCATCTTTTTTTTCCCCCAGTTCAAAATGAAAATTACTATACTGTGTGGGTGGATGTGCCGTTTGACAGCACTAAAATGTAGCAGGGACAATCACGAACCACGCCCTTGACAATTGCTTATCGCACAAATGGGAATGAGCATTCATCACCTTCTTGGGGTCCTTTGGCAAGTCAGGGCTTCTAAACTTTTAGATGTAAAAATTTAATTACTAAATTTGCTTATATATATACATTCATATATATATATATATTATTTATTTTCATAAATAATTACATATATTCTTAAACATAATTATTGGAAAAGGTTATGAACAAAATTTGTCAGTCTTATGATTTTGAAGCAGGTGTTGTTCGTCCCCTGAGTTTAATAAGGTTTAAAATTCAGAAATGTTGGTATTTGAATTTTCGAGAATTTTTTTGCTTTTTAAATCTAATTATATAGAGTTTATAAGGTAAACTTGCCAAATATAGAGTTTAAAATTTTATGATTTCCGTAGGTGCAAAAGTGTAATCTGCCAAACTAACCTTTAATTTAAAAAATTAAAATAATATATAATAAAATTTTTAACACCCATTATTTTCTGATCTGTAGTTAGGGCAGAAATGTCTTTCCAGTCCCATCTTAATCCAGCACTTTGATTGTCCAAGGTCAACGTGGGTGCACTTCGAGTGAACTTTACCTTATCTTCTTAGTTTGGCTTCTCCATATTTTAAAAATAGTAGAGGGGATAGATAAAGGTGTTTTAAACCAGATAATTAATAACAGAATAGACAATTGAAATTAAGTAAAACGAGATAACGACAACATTTTTCAGATAAAAGACTCCCTATTTTTGAAATAAGTATTATTAGTTTATCAAGTTAAGAATGTGACGTATCTATTTCTTTAAATTTAATATAAGTTATGATATAATACTTCAAGTTACTTTTTAATCAATTTTTTGTCATTTTAAATTAAAATTTAGTTATATGCATGTTATGTATAATATTTAGTGAGAATGATTTTATCATAAAAAAAGCGGAAGATTAAGTGTTATAGTACAAGTTTTGAATTTGGTAAATATTACAGGGACAGAAGCAATTTCACCCTTATATTACATTTGCTACCAAACTCAATCAACTCTGAAATTACTTTTTTCTCTCGTAATATATGATTAATGACATTAAAAAAAGAAGAATAAAAAAAGATAAAGTAAATTAAAAAAAAACAAAATTAGCAAAACAAGAATAAGAAAATCAAAATAAGAAGAAAAAGAAGAATAGTAACAGAAGCTATATAAGTGCAATAAGAGCTATATGACTCTTTTGTAGTATTTAAAAAATTAAAATTTGCACTAAAACCTAAAATTTTTTGCTCTTTTTATGATAAAATTGTTTTCACTGAATATACATGTGACATGCACATGATCAAATTTCAAATTGAAATAGCCAAAAATTAGTCATAAAGTAACTTGAGAGACAATATTAAAATGTATTAAATTTAAAGAATAAAAATAATTATATTTTTAATTTAAAAAACTAATATAATATTTAACTTAAACTTAAATAACTAATAGCCAAGCTGACGGTAAAGTCCATTTAGGTCGTAAGTATAAGAACTGGGTAAAGCTCAAAGCGAAAAATGTAAACTGGTAGATATCTTTTCAGTTTTCCCCAAATAACATCGTTACATTAATTTATATTACATAAACAGGAGTCTACGCAAACAAGACAAAGAATCGGGCCAGATGTGTGGCCATAAATTAAATCTCTATTTTGCAAAAAGAAAGAAAGAAAAATAGTGAAAGGCTGCATAGAAAATTAAAGGGAACAGTAAGGCTGAAAGGGGAGGGGGTGAAAAGGAAATTGGAAAAATAGATCATATAGGTTAATGTTAGACTATTTTCATTTTTAAAAAATTAATTAATTAGAGTTTTCAGAAGAATTTTTTTAATAAAAAGTCGCTTTTAAAGAAGTCAAAAATAGTTTTAAAATTCTTATTAAATTCCAAAAAATTTTAAAATTATTTTTAAGATAAAAATAGTATATTCCACCGTCATGAAGCAAATTGAGATGACTATGAATACGTGTCACATATTCTTTCAGCATCATACGACCCATCTGCCACACTTGGCACCCTAAACATGCAACTCCGAAAGGTTCGACACGTGTGTTCATTCATATATATATATATATATATATATTCTGGATACGGATACGCATAGGTGCGCAAGAAGCATCTTCCGCAGTTCTTCATACGAAGATAGGTAGCGTGATGTCAGTGCGACATTCAGCGGCCAGCTCTCCGCCGCCATGGGAGGTGCTCCTCCAGGTGGCTCACCACCTGGACCCCAAAACCCTAGCCACCGCCTCATGCGTATGCAAGTCATGGTTGGCCTGCATGTCCTCCGACCACCTATGGCAGCCCCTTTGTTCCGCACACTTCCCTTCCCTCTCCCATCTCTCTGCGGCCGCCGCTGTGCCCCACTGCCATCTCTATGCCCTTGGCCATGCTTCTGCCGCCCGCCGCCTCTGGAAGCCCTCAAGCCCCGCCTCTCCCTCCACCATCTTCTCTTCACCATCCAGATAGAGAACATCGACGTTTCGCACCACGTTTTCGCCATGCTAAGGCCCGTGTCGGACCTAGATATTGACTCTGGCGGGGCTTTCCGGTTCGACATCACTGTTGAGGATGAGAATTTCGAGGGTTTTAATGCGAAGGGAAGATTGAGAGTGACATGGAATGTGGTGTTAAAAGGGTTTAAGGGGGTGTTTGCGATGATGGAGTGTGAGGGGAAAGGGAGCTTCGCTGGGGGAGTGGAGGGATGGTTCTCGGAGGAGCTGCCGTCGCCGGAGTGCTGCTCTGTCGGGGCCGCGAGTGGGCTTGTGGCGGATTTGAGGTTGGGGCTTGGGGGAAGTGGTTATGATGGAGAGAAGACGGTGGTGGAGAAGGTAGGTGTGGGTGTTTTGAGCATTGTGAGTTGGAGGTATGCGAGCGTTGATGATGTTCTTAGGTACTTGCAGCATTTCCTTCTGCCTTCTGATGTTTAAATTTGGCTCATATATATACGTGATGTAGCTCTGTACAATCTCCATGCACACGTCATCCTTCTTTTTTTCACTGAGAGAAGAAAGCAGAATTTCTAAGCGGCTCTGGATCTTCTCCATCAAATTCATTTATATATTGCAAAAACTTAACATCAGTTCACGCTGCATATATTTTGATGAGTTTGATCGTACTTCTAGTTAAGAGACATCAAAATTGCTCAAAAGTAAGGATCCAAGAAAGGATCTGGTGTGAAAAATCACTTTCTCAAAAGGATATTTATTTTTAAATGTAATAAATATTGATAATCGGTTATCAGAGAATTGATCTGTCAAGAAAAAAAAAAATTACATTGTATATACAATGAACAAATGTTCAAACAAATATCCGTTATGCAGTAATCCAAATACTCTACACAAATATTGCATACTATATATTATATACAAATGTCTCTTTGAGTATATTATATATTATATACAAAATGAACAAGTGTCTCTTTGAGTAATTCAAGAACTGTTCGGGACGTTAACCATTTAGAATTATTTTAAGAAAGACTTAAAAAAATTTTAGTCCAAGCCCGAGCTCAATGTTTAAGCTACTTTTGGTGATCCAATACTTTGTTAGAAGAGAATTGGATTTATAATTATAATAAATTTGTCTTTGTCTTTTTTTTTTTTTACAATGTTGATTTGTATTTCAGTCACAAGTATCATTAATTACTCAAAAAAATGACGCTTTGATATCATTAATTTCTACAAACCGCCATGTAAAAAAACAAAGAAGAGGAAGAAGAAGAAGAAAAAAGAAGATGCAAGTTTCTCTTTAATAATTATTCCCTTGGGCTACAATTTTCTAGTTGAAAGGAAAATACTTTGCACTATACCTTTGATTACTTTTTTCTTCTTATAATATGTTTCATTTAAATGATGAAAGGAAAAAAAACATTATCAAAGAAATCTAGAATGGTTTAAAACAATTGGTACTATTAATTCTAAAAGAATAGGTTTTTTTAATTTTTTTTATTTTAAATTTTTCATGTTAAATTAAATAAATTTAAAAATGTAAAAGTCAAAAGTTTAAAAAATAACTTTTTATAGTTAACCAAACACTAATAAGAAGTAATAATGAAATACAAAAAATTAATGTAATTTTACAACAAAATAAAGTAGAATAATTAAGGATGGATTAAAGTGGACTAAAATAAAATGGAATTAATTACATGGGGTGAAACAAAAAAATGTTCAAAAAGAACTTTTCAATCCAATGGCAAACCTTTCTGGGTTTGATATTTAAAATCCTACTTTTTATCCCAAAAACCTTTAAATTCCCCTTTATCAAATGACCGGAAATCAATTCTCCGGCGGGGTGACTGAATGAATTTGTTTCTGTTCTCGGACAGAAAGTTAGAATTTCTGCAATTTGGAAAGAAAATAATGCATCCACGAAAGATTCACTGGCCCAAAAATTGGTGTAGATAAGCATCAAGTTATCACACTAATTTTCTTTCACAGGGAGAGGGGCTATGTCACGTCCCGATCTCGGGCTCGTGACCGACACTAGGACCCATCAACTCTAGTTAACCTCAAAACACTCTCACATGATTTAAACCATCATATCATAGGAGTATAATGGAGTACGTCATATAAAATCAGTCATCAAATATAAATCAGAATCCTGTCTGAGAGTAATAAATGAGTAATTTAAAGTATAAAACAGTAACATAATGAAATGTGCTTGTACGTCAATCGAAATCCGGAGCTCAAGTCATATCTCCACTAATTGGAATACGAACAGCTAACCTGATCTGGAATGATAATAAAAGGGTGAGTCGTGAAACTCAGTGAGTACAGATGA